AACCTTAAAGGGGCCGCGTCACCGGGCGGGACACGGCCGCACCACAAGGGATGTCGCCTGGCTGCTGGGGCCAGCTCGGGGATTTGGGGGCCATCACAGCCATGAGAGGCTGCCAGGCTTGGGGGGGACACTGTGGGGTCTCCACAGCTGTGCTCACCCCCCACCACGTGTGTCCTGCGTCACCCCATAAATGCCATGTGTGCCCCCCCCCCACATTGTCCCACCTGCGTTGTCACCCCATAGATGCTGAGTGTCCCCCCCACAGCCATGGGTCACCCCCCTGCCAGCCCCACAGTGGCCGTGTGCCACCAGCGGTGGCTGCAGTGGCCGTGTCAGCAGTGGTGGCCCCGTTGGTGGCAGGAAGGATGGGGACACCCCCCCCCACGTGGTGTCACCGCAGGCAATGCCGCGTCCCCCAACATGGAGGAGCCACTGCGGCAAGTCCTTGATGGGACTTGAGGGGCACGGCCTGCCCGGGGTGACACTGCTGGGGACATGGGGCTGCCACACCCTGCGTGCGCTGGGCTCTGCTCCCCAAAACTGGGCCACACCTTTGGGAGGTGCTGGGTGCCCAACTCTGCTGTCCAAAAACAGTTCTGGGGATGGCTGGGGACAAGTGACCATGGGCAGGGGTCACCAGGTGCTCTTTAAACCCACAGCTAATGGCAACCCCCCTCTTCCATCCTTGAGGAGGACACACAGAGGGTGGGTGGGACCCCCAAATCCTCTGCTTTCTGCTGCCCCATCTCTGGAAGTATTCCAGGCTGGGTTGGACAGGGTTTGGAACAGCTGGGAGGGTGGCAGATGTCCTTGTAGCAGCACAAGCAGACAGAGAGTGGCCATTTTGTGCTGTTGGACATCCAGTGGCAGCTGCCCTGGGGTGCCCAGGGGGTGACCCCACCCCGAGGTGAGGCCTCCCTCCCCTGCCTTGCAGCTCCTGGCGCGGATCGAGCGCATGGAAAGGCGGGTGCAGCTGGTGAAGAAGGACAGCGAGCGGGAGAAGCACCGCATCTTCCAGGGCTTTGAGGTGGATGAGAAGCCCGAGGCAGAGGCCTGTGAGAAGCTGCCTCTGGAGTGTCCCCAGGAGCTGCTGGAGCCTCCTCCGAGCCTGCAGCCCAAGCACTTCCCCTACGGCAGGAACGGGAAGGGGCATAAAAGGTACAGAGTGCATGGGGGGATGTGTGGGGAGGAGGGGGGACACTCCCTGTGGCTTCACCTTTGAGGTGTTTGGTGAAGCCACCCAGCCCCAGGAACTCATCCCTGTGTCAAGGAGAACCTCAAGAAGGGGAGTGCAGGGTCCCAAAATCTTGAGGAAGCCCCTCTGTAAACTGCTAAAGTCTGGCCCTGGTGCAGCAGCCCTGGTTTGGGGGTGCCAGCAGCCCCCCACAGCATCCCTGGTGCAGAGTGAGGATCCATGTGCCTGGCTCAGCTCTTCTTCCTCCTGCAGGAAGCCAACATTTGGGAGCACAGAGAGGAAGACGCCTGTGAAAAAACTAGTGTCAGAATTCTCCAAAGTGAAGAGTAAAACTCCGAAACACTCCCCGGGGAAGGAGGAATCGGGCGGCTCCTTGGCTGAAACTGTTTGTAAACGAGAACTGCGGAGCCAAGAGACTCCGGAAAAAACCCGCTCGCTCCTGGAGACCCCGCTGAGAGCATCGGCGCCACCCAAGGGTCCTGGCACCCACCCCAAGGAGAAAAGCTTTGTCAGTGAGGCCGACGACCTGCCCTACCTGTCCACCACAGAAATGTACCTGTGCCGCTGGCACCAGCCGCCGCCATCGCCGCTGCCGCTGCGGGAGCCTTCCCCCAAAAAGGAGGAGACTGTAGCAAGTAAGGATGGAGAGAATGATGGAGAAGGGCTCCAGGCTGGGGGCAGAGCTCAGCACCTTCATTCTGAATCTGGGAAAGGGCTCCCACATTCCCAAAGGGAGTGCCTGTGGTGATGGAAAGGTGCCATGGTGCTGGTTCCTTCCACTGCTGGCTCTGGGCTGTCCCAAATCTCATCTTGGGGTCACCCTGCTCTGGGCAGGGCTCCTGGCTGGTGTCTGGTGGAGCAGCTTCCAGTGGGTGGGTGGGAAACGTGTCTCTGGCTCGTGCCACGGTGACACAGCACTGGGGTCACCTGCTGTCCCCAAATCCGGTGCTTGTCCTGCCTGGAGCCCAGTGAGGTTGGTGCCAGCAGTGGGAGCTGGGCTGTGCCAGGTGGCTCAGCACTGTGGCACAGACAGAGCCTGGCACATCCCTGGGAGTGGCTCAGGGGGTGGAGTTCAGCTCTGCTGCCCTGTGGCTGGCTGGGGATGGGGGTTGTCACATGGTTGTCAGCCAGATGTCCACTGCTGGCTCAGGATGGGGGTTTGGGGCGTCCTGAGCCATGCTCCAAGGGGAAGGATGAGCAGGAAGGGAATGTGGAGGTGGTGGATGGAGCTGTGGGGATCCTGGTGTGGGCTAACACCCTTCTCCTTGTCCTGCAGTTCCGTCTTGGAGGGACCATGTCGTGGAGCCCCTGAGAGACCCCAACCCCTCGGACCTCCTGGAGGTACGTGAGCCATCAGTGCTGCCACAGGGGCTTTCCAGGCTGTCCCCCACTCCCAGAGCTGGTGGCATCTCATCCCCTCATCCAGCACAACCCTCATCTGTGGCTGGCAGGCTGAGGAGGGGGATCTGGCCCCGGGATGATGCACTGAGCCCTGTCTGGTGTCATTGCAGAACCTGGACGACAGCGTCTTCTCCAAACGGCACGCAAAGCTGGAGCTGGATGAGAAACGAAGGAAAAGGTTGGAGCAAAGGGGGTCTGGAGTGCCAGTCTCACAGGGGAGGGTCCTGGGGTGTCACCCAGGGCATTGTGCAGCTGGGATGGCACCAGGAATGCTGCAGGAGAAGGGATGCTCTCACATCACTGGCAGCCAGTGCAGCCCTGTGATCACTGCTGAGGGAGGGGTTCTGGTCTCTGGGGGAGTCTGGCACTGCCCCACGGCTCCTCACTTTCCCACCCATCCTGTTTTGCAGGTGGGACATCCAGCGGATCAGGGAACAGAGAATCCTGCAGCGGCTGCAGCTCCGAATGTACAAAAGGAAAGGGATTCAGGAGTCGGAACCTGAAGTTACCTCATTTTTCCCTGAGCCAGATGATGGTGAGGCTTGAGAAGGGGGTGTTGGGGATGGGGGTGTAAATGTGAGGGGGGGTCTCACACACTCTGGTGTCTCTCCACAGTGGAAAGTTTGCTCATCACCCCTTACCTGCCCGTTGTCGCCTTTGGCCGGCCCTTGCCCAAACTGACCCCACAGTGAGTACTGGGGGCAGGAGGGGATGGGGTTGGCGAGTGCTGATGTCACTCCTAACAAGGCACCCTGCCCATTTTGGGTCTGGATGGGGCCATTTTGGGTCGGGAGGGCTCTGAGGTGACACCAGCTGTGCCCACAGGAACTTCGAGCTGCCCTGGCTGGACGAGCGCAGCCGCTGCCGGCTGGAGGTGCAGAAGAAGCAGACACCACACCGGACCTGCCGGAAATAAGGGAGATCCTGAGAGCTCCAACCACCTCCAGGAGCTCCGTCCTCAGGAGCTCTGAACACCTCTAAGGCACCAGAAGCTCTGCCATCAGCGGGTCACCACCAGCTGCTGACGGATGGTTTCGTTCTTCTGCGATCCCAAGTTTTGTTCGTTTGGGTTTTGGAACGTTTCCCGGACTCATCCCCCGCACTGGCGCCGCCTTCCCAGTGCCACCAGCCTGCAGCTCCTCTCCTGGGGGCAGTGGGTGGATCCCAGCCCCATCCTTGAGTCCCCTGTGTGCCACCCCTGCACTCCACAGCCCGTGGCCTTGGGATCTGGGGCTGTCCCGTGTCCGGTGGGAGCACGGGGATGACCAGCACCAGATCCCGTGTCTGGGGGTGCCACATCCCCCGGGACTCACCCGCTGCTGCCTTCATGTTGTGCTTAGTTAGAGAGCAGGATAAACAGCGGATTGTGTTGGAGCCAGCTGGGAGCTGGGAAGCGCCTGGGATTCTCTTTTGGGGAAGTTTTCCCCCCTCTTTGGTGGTTTTCCTCTCTCTGGAGTGGGGTTGGCGGGGGCAGAAGGGAGAGTTAAAAAGCAAAAATTTCTTCTTTTTTTTTTTTCTTTTCTTTTTTTTTTTTTTTTTGTGAAATAGAAACCCTGTGCGCACAATTTGGGGGGTTTTAATGTTTTTTTAAAAATGTAATTTAAATGTTTTGAGGCGGGTGAGGGGTTTGCTGTGATGCTGTGAGGGGGGGCCATTATTGCCTGTCCGAGCCCCTGGGTGCTGCTGGACCCTCTTGGTGCTGGATGGGTGGGGAGGGGGCTCCAAGAGTGGGGGCTCCATGTGTCCCTTTTTGCTTTTTTTCTCTCTATCTCCCTTTTCCCTCCTATCTCCCCCTTTTTCCTCAGCTTTCCCCCCTTTTTCCACAGTTTTCCCCATTTTTTTCCCCCTACACTGAGCCTGTGCCCCCCCAGTCTTATCCCCCCTTGCCCCCCTCTCTATAATTAACCCCGAGCTTGTTGAACGCCGGAAAACTCGTTTACAAGAAGAAAAAAAAAATTAGCAAAAAAGAAAACTTTAAGAAAAACAAACTTTAAAAAAAAAAAAACAATTTAAAACCCGGAAATTGTTAAAAAAAAAATCGATAAAGTTCTAAAACCGCCGAGTTCTAAACAAACGTTACGGGGAGGGGGTGGGGTCTCTCGCGGACACGCCCGCTCGCTGGTTTTATTTTATTATTTTTTATTGCTTTTCGTTGTTGGTTATATATTTTTTTTTGTTGTTTTTTTTGGTTTTTTTTTTTTTTTTTTACAATAAACAAGGAAAAGGCCGCTGGGTGCTGATGATTTACCCGCCCTCGGGTGTGACGTCATTTCCGCGGGGTCGGTGACGTCACCGGCGCGCGCGGCGCGCGCCCCCTGGCGGGCGCGGTACCGGAACGGAGGAGGGGACGGGGGGGGGGGGTGGCGGAGGCCGCGCGCGCGCCGTTCCCGTGGTGCCCCGCGGCCAAGATGGCGGACCGGCGGCGGCAGCGCGCCTCGCAGGACAGCGAGGACAGCGAGGGCTCGGCGGCCTCCGACAGCGCCGGCTCCGCTCCCGGTTCCCCCCGCTCCGCCCGCTCCCGCTCGGCATCCGGATCCCGCTCCCGTTCCCGGTCCGGCTCGCCCCGGTTGTCTCACCGCCCGCCGCGCGGCGCCGCGGGGGCCCTCGGGGCTGGGCCGCGGGGCCGTGGGGCGGAGAGCGCCGGTGGGGCCGGGGGGAAGAGCGCGGCCGAGTCGGAGTGTGTGAGTGAGGGACTGGGGGGGCTCGGGAACGGGGGGCTCGGGGGGCGGAGTGTGACCGGGGGATGGCGGGGGGCTTGGGGACACTGAGCACTCTGGGGATGGCGGGGGGCTTGGGGACACTGAGGAGCCGGGGGGTGGCGGGGAGCTTGGGGACACTGAGCACTTTGGGGATGGCGGGGGGCTTGGGGACATTGAGGAACCTGGGGATGGCGGGGGACTTGGGGACACTGAGCACCCTGGGGAGGGAGGGGGCATGGGGACACTGAGCACCCTGGGGAGGGAGGGGGGCTTGGGGACATTGAGGAGCGTGGAGATGGCGGGGTGCTTGGGGACACTGAGCACCTGGAGATGGCGGGGGGCTTGGGGACACTGAGGACCGAGTGCAGGGAGGGGCTGAGAGAGGGGTTCTGGTCTCAAGGAAGTGCTGAGAGAGAGATTCTGGTCCCTAAAAGGGACAGAGAAAGGGGTTTGGTCTCCATGGAGGTCCCTGGGGAGGAGTGAGAGACCTGGGGAGACTCTGCTGTTAGGGGCACTGATATTAGGACCTGCAGGGTGTGGGGACACTGGGCACAAAGTGAAGGGTGGAGAGCTGGGGGAGCACCAGTCTGGGGAATTGGGGGAATTGGGCTGAACCCCCCCAAAATGTGAGGGGGAGAGCTGGGCTGGAGCAGCCCCCCAGGAACAGGCTTTGCTCTGGCTCCCTGTGGCTGGATCTCCCCAGTTTGAGATCCCATCCCTGTTCTTGGGGTGCTGTTCCTGCTCTTGGGGTCCCTGCAACAAGGGCAGGTGAGGGGTGGGTGCTGCTTTCTCCCCCCACCGTGCAATTCTGCTTTGCAGTTCACATCCAGGTGCAATTCCCTCCTGGTTTGGGTTCTGCTGGTGGTTATTTCCAGCTCTTTCCTGTTTTAGCTTCCAGGGCTGGTTATTTCCAGCTCCCCCTGACTCCCTGGGTGTTTTTCTCTGGTGGTTTTGGATTTATGTCATCACCTTGGTCAGGTTGTTGGTGCTCTGGGGTTGTTGTTTCTGGACAGTTGGGTTGATCTTTGTCTTCATGCTGGAATCATGGAACGGTTTGGTTTGAAAGGAGCCTCAAAGCTCATCCAGTTCCACCTTCTACCAATTTCCACTATCCCAGTTAAATCCAAATCCTGTCCAACCTGCCCTTGGACACTTCCAAGGATGGGGCAGCCACAGCTTCTCGTGGCAGCAGTTTTACTGAGCACTTTTCCTTCTCTGAGCTGTTGGCTTCTTCCAGCCCCTTCCCTGAGCTGAGCCTCTGTTTGTTATTCCCTGTTCTTGCCCTTTCCCTGGCTCTTGGTTGCCAGGGGAGGGATCCTGGCTCCCCTGTCACTGTCACTGTCACTCTGTTCCCTGGAGACCCTCAGCACCACCAGGCTGTGCTTTGCTCTCCGTATTCCCCCACTGTTGCTGCTCTAGAAGGTTCTTGGAGCCTTAGAAAGGCTCCAATTTGTTTCTTCTTGGTCACTGGAGCTGAACTTCCATGGGTGGATGCAATAGGGTCAGGGCCAGACCTTGTTGTTATCATGTGTGGGATCATGGGATGCTGGGTGTTAGGAAAAATGGACATTGGGACAAAAGAACAGCTGTTTGGAAAAGGAATTAGGGTAGTAGACACTAAGAAAATAAGTTCTGAGGGAATTTTCCTTCATGGAAGGGGTGGTCAGGCACTGGCCCAGGCTGCCCAATTCCCTGAAGTGTACAAAAAATGTGGATGTGGCTTTTGGGGACGTGGTTTAGTGGTGACATGGGGCTGGTGTTTGTTGAAGGTTGGACTTGATCTTAAAGATCTTTTCCAATCTAAACAATTCCATTATTCTGCGGTTTTGTGAATCCATGATTCCATGTTGCTAGGACCTGGCTGCTGCGCTCCCCTCCTCTAACACCCCTCACTTTTCTCTCTCTGCAGGAAAGTGAGGATGGCATTGAAGGAGATGGTGAGTGATGGCTCTTGGGCAGGGTTGTTTGTGTGCAAAAAAAGTAAAAACCAGACAAAACAGCTTTTCAAACAATCCTGTGATTGTTGCTATGCCAAATATTGTAACAGCAGGCAAATGTGGGGTACAGGGACAGTGTCCCAAACTCTTCCCTGCTCCCCATAGCTGGCTGTGGCATTGATCCAGGGTGCTGCTGGCATCCAAATTCCCTTTGGGAAGGGTTTGGTCCCATGGCAGAGGAGCCATGTCCAGCCCTGCCCTGACCCCACTCCTCTCCCTCCCCACAGCCGTGCTCTCTGACTACGAAAGCGCCGAGGACTCGGAGGTAAGGCTGACCCCTGTCCTGCTGAGCCCCTGATTCCCATGGAATTTCATTTGTGTCCTTGGATCCCTTCCCTCTGTCTCCTGAGGAAATTTCCTCCTCCACTCCCAGCCCCTGGCACTGGGACCAGTGTCACTGTGCTGCTGGGGAGGGTGCAGGGCCAGTGTGTGCAAGGGAAAAACCCTCCTGGCTCCTCTCACACTGGGAACTGGATTTGCCATGGCCAAGAAGGGCGTGGGAGGACTGTGGGATGCTTGTTGGGTTTTAATTAGTTGGAATTCAAAAGCAAAGTGGTGGTTGGGAGCATCCCAGGGGCTTCCCTGTGTTCTGAGGGAGCAGCTGGAGGGGGGAATGCACTTTGGGAATTAGGGGGTGCTGAAGGAATCCCATCCCACCCGTGCCTGGGGGGCTGCAGGTTCCCCTGGATTTTTAGTTCAGAACTCTAAAGTTTGAGATTTACAAGGAGTTTAGAGAAGTTCTGGTGTCTAAGAATTATAGTGAAAGCTTTCTTGAGATTTACAAGGAGTTTAGAGAAGTTCTGGTGTCTTAAGAATTACAGTGAAGGCTTTCTAAGGAAAATCCATCTGTGTTTTAGGGAATCTTGAGGGAAACAGTGGCTAGAGACCATCCAAACCACCAGGCAGAGGAAATCCAAGCTGTTTATTTGGGAATTAACCTCAGTTTGGGAATTGATCCATGCCATTAACAAGGAAGGAGCACTGCAGGCTGCAGAAGTGTTGGGGCAGCTCCCAGAGCTCTTCCAGCCTGGAATCCCGCATGGAGGCTCCCAGTGGCAGCGGGGTTGTTGCATCACTGCCTTGCCAGGATGACTCTGTTCCTGTACCTAAAAATAATGCCCAGCCTGGGCTTCCCCAGCGTAAACACCGGGAGCAGGCGATGTGCAAGGGCTGTGTTGAAAGAGGAAAATGGAGCAGGGTTTGGTTAATCACCCCGAGCTATTTTTAGTTGGGCTCCAGCCTCCGGAGGCTCCTGGGGGTGAAACCAGGTCATGCTCCTGAGCAGAGTGAGTCAGCTGAGGAACTCCAGGGAACTTGGAAACGTGGCCCTGGCTGGATCCGGGCCCTCGGTGTAGAAGGAAGGGCCTGAGATCACCAGTGCTCCCAGTCTGTAGGAGCCTTTTTGGAGTGGTGGGATGTCACATCTTTGTGGGGCACCTGATCCCAGCTCCATTCCAGAAAACCTCTTGAATCCTCCCTCTTTAGAGAGGTTGGGTTTAACCTTTGCTTTTCCTGTAAAAACACGGGGATAGGAATAATTTTAGGAGCTAATCATCTGCTCTGGAAAAGTCATGTCTAACAGCTGGAGCAGGGATCTCACTCCACAACTGAGGGAATTTCTGGGCAATCTGCTGCCGGATCTGACTCCAGATTTGGGGAGATTCCTGGCAGATCTGTTGATAACGGAGCACGTTTGAGTCGCTGGGTGTCTCCCAGGCAGAGGAAGAGGATTACAGCGAGGAAGAAAGCTCCAAGGTGGAGCTGAAGCAGGACAGCAACGATTCCTGCGAGTCAGCAGCCAGAGGAGAGAAGGGCAGTGAGAAGGTGGATGCCAAGGGAGCGGTGACGGGCGAGCGGCAGAGCGGGGACGGGCAGGTGGGTGTCCCACGGCTCCGGGCTGGGGGCTGGCAGCAGGACTGCTGCAGTGGTGAGAGCTCCCTGCTTCTGACAGGAGAGCACCGAGCCTGTGGAGAAGAAGGTTGGGAAGAAGGTTCCCAAGCACCTGGATGACGATGAGGATCGCAAGAACCCGGCGTACATCCCGCGCAAGGGGCTCTTCTTTGAGCACGACCTCCGAGGGCAGACGCAGGAGGAGGAGGTCAGGTATGTGAGTGTCCCCCTGGGGCTCTGGGAGGGACAGGCCAGCTTCCAGGCCAGCTTTGGCAGCAGGGCTCCTTCCTTCAGTGGGATGCACTGAGAAGGTCTGTGTTGTTACCTGCCAGGACACTTCAGCTCTTTGTTTTGAAGGAGAGATGCACAAAACCAAAAAAGCCTTGTGCCAGGCAGCAGTGACTTCCAGCTGCTTTTCCCAAATAGCAGAGGGTCACCAGCAGCTGCTGGGCAGGAGGAGTGGGAGGAACTGGGAAGGTCTGTACTTCTATTACCTGCCAGGACACTTCAGCTCTTTGTTTTGAAGGAGAGATGCACAAAACCCACCAAAAAAGCCTTGTGGCAGGCAGCAGTGACTCTTCCAGCTGCTCTTCCCAAATAGCAGAGGGTTACCAGCATCTGCTGGGCAGGAAGAGCAGGAGGAAGGAGTGCCAGGCAGCAGTGACTCTTGCAGCTGCTTTTCCCAAATAGCAGAGGGTCACCAGCAGCTGCTGGCCAGGAGGAGTGGGAGGAAGGAGGGATGCTGCCTCCTGTGCATTCCCTGCCCCAGGAATGCTCAGGCTCTGTATGGAACTACTCAAAACTACCACATCATGACCTTACAGCCCCTTGCTCCTCCCTGTGCCCCTTTTCCAGGCCCAAGGGTCGTCAGCGGAAGCTGTGGAAGGACGAGGGGCGCTGGGAACACGACAAGTTCCGTGAGGATGAGCAGGCCCCCAAGACCAGGCAGGAGCTGATTGCTCTCTATGGGTACGACATCCGCTCAGCCCACAACCCCGACGACATCAAACCCCGCAGGATGCGCAAGCCACGGTGAGCCCCAGGGTCACACCAGGGCCTGGGTTGTCCTGGGGAGAGGGAACAGGTCTGGGGATGCAAAGAGGGAAAGCTCTGTCACGTGGGACCACGTTCCTGAGATTTCTAGATGTGCGTGCTGGGAAGGTGTTCCCTAACACAAGTGATTCTTCCCACCCAGGGGTTTCTTCCTAATGAATTGTTCTGTTTTTCTCCCTCAGCTTTGGCAGTCCCCCTCAGCGAGACCCCAACTGGTCCAACGAGAGGCCCCCCAAGCCCCCGAGGCACCAGGGTGCCAAGAGCCCCTCGGCTCCCCCACGCTCCTACAACAGCCGCAGCTCTGGCAGCGCTGGCAGGATGCCCAATGCCAGGAACTACCCCAGGATGGGGGGCTACAAGGACACCCGTCCAGGCTACCGAGCCTCAGAGGCCACTGTGCTGCACAGGAACGGGGAACAAGCCAAGCAGGAGGGTGGCTACCGTGGGAAGCACTCAGAGCAGAGCCCATCGAGGGACACGTCCCCTGAGCTGGAGGTGGGACACGTCCATGGCAGCCCTGGGAAGGAGGAGGGAGCTCTGGAAAACCAAGCCACGGGTGCTGATGCTGTGCAGCCGCCACCGGACAGACCAGTGGAGAAGAAATCTTATTCCCGGGCAAGAAGGACCAGAGTCAAGGCTGGGGAGGCAGGGAAGCTGGCAGAGGAGGTGCCTGCTTCTGAGGGGCTGGCTCCTGTGATTCCAAAAGCCACGCCAGCTGAGAGCTCCCCCACGGCAGCCAAGAGCAACTGGGAGTCACCAGTGGAATCCAGCGTGGATGGACTTGAGCAGGAGATGACCCAGATGAACCTGACAGAGCAGAACTGGAGCCCGGGGCAGTCCCAGTTCATCCCACCCCGGGAGCTGAGGGGTAAGTGGGAGCAGCCTCCTGCTTTTCCAGCAGCCCAGGGCCTCCTATCTGTGCAGTTGGTCAGAGCTGAGCTGTTTCTGTGCAAGCCCTGTCCCAGGGTGGGTGCAGAGTGGTGGTTCCTGCTGAGAAAGTGCTGCAGTATGGATAAAACAGCAGAGAAAAAGGGAAATTAAACATTTTTGTGTAGGTGAATGGAATCAGGGCTGGGAAGGATAGAAGGGATCCCAGTCAGCAAGACTGACCCCTGCTGCTGGAGAGCACGAGATAAGGATCAATAACTGGGCTCTGTGATTCCTGCTCAGAGCAGAAAGGAACTTTTTTGTGTTTATCAGCTCATTTCCTGGCACTGGGGTTTGATTACCAACAGCCAAGGCCTGGCAAGGATTGGCAAATCCCTTTGTGCCTGGGAGGAGAGAGGGACATGGGACAGAGTAACTCTGGTGCCAGCTGAGGACAGTTCCAGTTGCACATCCACAGAGAGGTCATCCAGGTATAATTATCCCTTTGCAGAATTAGAGTCTGTGCTGGGAAGTGTTAGAATGCTTCCCAAGGGGAGTAAAACTGGAGCAAGGAGAGGGAAGCGACTTGCTGCTTTCATAAGTGTCTGTGAGGTTGAGGTCATGGAACCAGAAATCATTTGGTACTGGTGGCACTGTGAAGTCTGTGAGAGCAGACCCCTGGACAGGATGGAAATGTCCAAAGTTCAAAAGTGATGAGATTATCTGGTTTAGGGTTTTTTTTAAATGCACAAAAATGAAGCACCTTCCCAAATTTCCCAGAGGCCAGCTCTTGGCTGCAGGTACATGTTCTGCTGTGAGAAGGATGATGACTCTGCTGTCCCTTTTTGTCCCTTGCAGAGGAGGGAGGAGTTATTCTGGGAAGCATTTGGTTCCCATCCGTCCATTCTGTGTCCCTCTGTCAGTGATCCATGAGCACTTCCAGTGTTTGTTTTATCCATTTTCCCTCCCTTGGAATCACCTGTGATCACCTTGGTTTTAAGCCATGGTTTCAAATTCAGTTTGCTGTGAATTTAAAAACTGGGGTTTTAAGCCATGGTTTAAAATTCACTGTGCTATGAATTCACATGGATTCAGTTTGCTGTTGGAATCCAAAGGAGCCTGTGACAAAAGTGTTTATACCCTGCAGAGGTTTAAACTGCAGCTTCAGGTTCCACATGGATCCTTGATCCACCTGGAAGAGATCTGTGTCTCAGCAGACACAGAGCTCAGAGCAGGACCTGAGTTTCAAGCTGTGGATTTAGTTTTGAAACAGGATTTAGGCATTGCTAAATGCCTGAAACGAACGAATGTGCAGCGACAAAACAGCCTCTAATTTATCCCTGAATATTTCAAATCACTGGGGCCACGAAGTCCAAAGGTTCCATGTCATGGGAGAGGGATCTGAGCTGCAGCCACGCCCCCGGGTGAGGCAGCTCCAGCCTGGGAACCAGCACCAACCCCAGTAATGAGCAGTGTGTTCCTTCCTCAGGTATTCCCAACCATGTGCACGTGGGAACTGGGCCAGCGCCGCAGTTTAACCGGATGGAGGAGATGGTAACGCGTGATCCCCGAGCGTGACTGCGCGCGGGCTCTCATTCCCTTGGGGCTGTGCTAATTACAGGCTCATTCTGGGGGTGTTTGGGGGTGACCCAGGGGAGGTTTGGGGCTCTGGGGTGCCCCACAGCCCCCCTGATCCCTGCACTCTCACAGGCAGTGCCAGGGGGGCGTGTGAAGCGCTACTCATCGCAGAGACAGAGACCCCCCGTGCCGGAGCCTGCGCCCCCCATGCACATCAGCATCGTGGAAGGGCACTACTACGACCCACGTGAGTGTTTCCTTCCTGCTCCTCTGGCTCCATGTGATCCCTGCTCCATGTCAGCAACTGGAGCAAGGATCTCCCCATTTCTCTCAGGGCTGGGACTTTATCTTCTCTTTTGTTTGTTATAGTGGCACTGTGTCCTCTTATACAGTGTCTCAGAGGCAGCTGGGAGCCTGCCTGGTTGTGTTTAAACCCCATGGAATTATCCTCAGTGTTATCCCCTCTCTATGCCACGGCTCTTAGGACACCCCAATTCTTCCGAGGAACTGGGGTTTAAATTGAACTTTAAATCAGGTCTTTGACGTTTGAGCATGGGGAGAACAGGACTGGGGATGGATTAGGAATTCCCTCCAGCATTTAAAGTGTTAGAGAAGAAATTGCCTGAGTATTTTCCTGCTCTTGTGGCTCCATGTGATCCCTGCTCCATGTGAGCAACTGGATCCCACAGCAGTAGGATCACCCCCACTCCTGTTGCGGTTGGGACTTTATCTTCTCTTTTGTTTGTTGTAGTGGCACTGTGTCCTCTTATACAGTGGCTAAAAGGCAGCTGGGAGCCTGCCTGGTTGTGTTTAAACCCCATGGAATTATCCTCAGTGTTATCCCCTCTCTGTGCCAGGGCTCTTAGGACACCCCAATTCTTCCTGAGAATTGGGATTAAAATTGAACTTTAAATCAGGTCTTTGACGTTTGAGCATGGAGAGAACAGGACTGGGGATGGATTAGGAATTCCCTCCAACATTTAAAGTGTTAGAGAAGAAATTCCCTGAGTATTTTCCTGCTTTCTAAAGGGAGTAGGAGGCTTTTCTTTAGGGAGCATGTCCCATCTGTGAGCCCTGAAGCCTCTGTGTGCTGTGGGAGCCCTCAGGGCAGGCTGGGCTGTGTGTGCCCAGCTGCAGGGGACTGAAATTCCACGGAGCTTTTCCTCACAGCCTGTCATGTGTTGTTGCAGTACAATTCCAGGGACCAATCTACGCCCACGGTGAGAACCCAGCCCCGCTGCCGCCCCAAGGGATGATTGTGCAGCCGGAGATGCACCTCCCTCATCCAGGTGAGGAGCCAGTGGGACACCCCTGGACCTGGGCAACAGAGAGCTCTGCTCTCCCACAGCCTCTATCACAGAGGGGAATCCATTTTCCTTAATTTCGACAACATGGAAGAGACTTACTCCCTCCTGCAGTGAGGCTGAACCAGTATCAGTTTTAATGAAAGAAAAAATAGATGTTTCTGGAGCTTCCAGGCAGTGCAGGACAAGGGGAGCTGACCCTTTGGCAGCTCCCAGCTGGATGTTTGCAGGTCCCTGTGGGGCCTCAGCAGGCTGGGCCGCTCCCTTCCGTGGGCACTGGGCTGGTTCCTCACTCCCTGGCCCTGTAGCTCAGGAAAAAGCAGAACTGGGAGCTGTCTAACACGTTCTCTGCTTGCCCACACAAATAGTTTCCTGCAGTGGAGTTGCTGTGGGGCCACCTCTGGTTCCGCTGAATCCGGAACTGGGGAGGGGGCTGTGCTCTGCTGCTCTGTGTCCCTCCCCAGCAGGGAGCAGAGCGTGCTCCTTCCTGCTGCTACCCTGGGACGCTCTTTTTTGGCTCACCTGCAGGTTTACACCCCCACCAGACGCCCCCAGCCATGGCAAACCCCGGCCTGTACCCCCCAGCAGTGTCCATGCCCCCGGGGCAGCCCCCGCCGCAGCAGCTGCTCACTCCGACTTACTTCTCTGCCCCTGGAGTGATGAATTTCGGCAATCCTGGCTACCCCTACCCCCCTGGAGCTCTGCCCCCTCCGCCCCCTCCTCATCTCTATTCCAACACTCAGGTAAGCCGGGTGTGCTGTGGCTCCTCCCCAGGCAGGAGCAGGTGGGGTGGTGTGGGATGTGAGGTGTTCCTGGGAGAGGATGTGCAAAGGCTGATGGAATCCCAGAAAAGATCGTTCTCATGGCTCCCCGAGCGTGGCAGGCACTGGGTGAAATCCTCTCCTGGGGGGTGTGGAGTTGAGGGGCTCCCTTATGGAGCAGGGAAACAGCCCCTCCAGGGCCCTGCTGAGCCAAGGATCCCTTGGGAATGGCTTTGGAGGTCAGTTCTGTTGGAGGTAGAGGCTGGTGTGAGCAGCATGGGGATGGATTTTCGTGCTCCCTGGCCCAGCTTGGTATCTAAGGTCACTGCTAGGCTGTGAGGAGGCAGATTGGATTGGGTCCCTGAGGAGGCAGATCCTGTAGGAGCATGGATCAGGTTTCTGTGAGGAGGCAGATCAAATCGGATCCCTTAGGAGTCAGATTGGATTGGGTCCTTGAGGAGGCAGATCAGACCAGATCCTGTAGGGACATGGGTCAGATTCCTGTGAAGAGGCAGATCAGATCAGATCCCTGAGGAGGTAGATTGGTTTGGATCTCTCTGAGGATCAGACCCTGTGAGGAGGCAGATGGACCTAATCCCAGAGGAGACAGATCAGCCCAGATCCTTGGAAAGGCAGATGAGAGCAGAGCAGACCAGATCCTGGTGCTGTGGTTGGAGCAGGGCCGACAGGCTGTGACTGGAGCAGGGCTGACACGCTGTGGAAGGCTGGAGAGCTGCATGTTCCCTGAGCTGCCAGCCATCCCTGCCCTTCCCACTGCTCCAGCCCATCCCAGCAGGATCTCACCCTGCTTTGAGGGCATTTTCCCCCGAGGCTGCAGGGCTGGATGTGCGGGGGAGCTGTGTCCAGGCAGAAAAGCTGCTGTTGGGAAGTTCAGGGATTCCATGGACTGCAGGGGTCCTGTCCCTGCTGGAGTTGGGGGACATTGGTGAGGGTTGGGCACACACAAGTGGCTTCGCAGGCTGATGTCTGGGGGGCACAGCCCCTCTTGGCTCTGGCTGGGGGCAGCTGTCCAGCCCCAGTGGGTGCCAGGAGGGGCTCACAGGGCCCCCCAGCCCGGAGCTCTGACCCTGCTGCTCCTGCAGGCGCAGTCCCAGGTCTATGGGGGGGTCACCTACTACAACACTGTCCAGCAGCAGGTGCAGCCCAAGCCCTCCCCGCCCCGCCGGACGTCCCAGCCTGTGACCATCAAGCCACCCCCTCCAGAGGTACCATCCCCTCACCTTTGCTCCTTGTGTGTGTGTGTGTGAGATGTCACTGGTGTGTGTGTGTGTGTGTGTGAGGCTGCAGTTTCCTCTCCCATCCCCCCCAAAAAAATAACCTTGTTCTTTTGTAAGGGGAAATCTTAAACTGTCTCATCTCTGACCTGTCCCAAACCTCAGCTTCTCGTTGCAGGTGGTAAGCAGGGCTCCAGTTAATTTGAGTTACTTAAATCTTTAAAACTAAAACCACGTAAAAAGTAAGTCTGAAGTTGGCTCTTTTTTATTTTATTTGTTCAGGGTAGAAAACAGGATGATTTTGAGAGGGAAAAATCCAGCCCTGGTTGGAGGAGCTAGGAGGCAGGAAGGATAAACATTGAGAACTCAGCAGATAATTCAGGCAGTAGAGTTAAAGGTTTTTCAGGATGCAAGTGCTTCCCTGTGCTGGGAGTGATCTCCTTGCTCCAGTGCTGTGAGCTGTGCATGTGTGAGCGTGCTGGAATGCCATGTGTGTTTTTGGTTTCCCTTTCCATATCTCCTTCATGTATGGCAGCCAAGCAAGCCCAGACCCGGGCAGGCATGTGCTGGTGGGTTCCTGTACATGGGGAGGGCTGAGAAGCAAATTGTCTGATGGAGGGGCCCTGGAAAGGCCTCGTGATGGAAAAATCTGGAACCATGAGGAGAGGTTGGCCCAGGGGGGCTGGTTGTGCCCAGAGAGGTGGGTGAGGGGGGTTGCTGGCAAGACCCAGCCATAGCACTGTCCCCACCATGTAGGGGTTTGGGGGGCTCTAAACCTCTGCTGCTCTTCCTTCTTTCCCCCTTCCCAGGACAGCAAAGGTGAAAAATCAAAGGAGAGGAGCAACACGTAGGGACGCAGCCCCAGGAATCCCAGCACCAGACTCAGCCCCTGGGCAAGGAGGAAAGCTGCTCCTTGGAATGGCTCCTTCCCTGCGTGGAGGTGAGGCAGCAGGATGAGCCACCTGCACTGTGCTCAGGACCAGGCACTTCCCCCATGGCCTGAGCTGTGCCTTCCCAAAATCCATCTTGCTGCTGCCCACTCCCCTTCTCCCCCGTGCTGGGGCCGCCAAAGAACCAACCCCAAGTCGGTCCTTGGCCACAAGTTCTCCCAACTTCTCCCCGTTACTAAACGTTCCCCGCTCCCTCCTGGGATGTCCAACTCTGCTGGCTTGATCGTGGTCTCTGTTTTTATTTAAGGAATGAAGCAGCTCCTTCAGTAAAGCTGATTTGTTTCTTTTGGGTATCTCGTTTTTATTTGTTTGGGTAAACAGCAGTGACATCCCCCCTACCTCAGTTTATTCTTCTTTTCAATTAGCAAGTTGGTTTCTGCCACTTTTGGGGCAGGGGAAGGGCAATGGAGCCGTGGGAAGCTGTCAGGAATGCACTGCCTGGGCAGGAACCACTTAGGAGCTCCTCCTGATTCTTTTCCCAGCAAAACTGTTGGTAGCTGGTGTGTGTCAGCTCTCAGGTGGGAACCCACAGGGTGACCCCTATCCCTGCCACCCCCAGCAGCACAAGGGGATGTTTCCACCCTCCCTCTGCCAAATGCACAGAGAGAGGGGGAGGTTTGTGGGCACCCAGCACCCCGACGCTGCCCGAGCAGCCCAGCCAGCACCCAAACCAGCTCAGCAGGGCCAGGTTTGCTCCCAGCACTTGGGTGTTGCTGGTGGAGCTGTGGAGGGTGTTGGAACCCGCCCCAACACACCGGGCTGGGCTTTGGCCTCACGAGGAAGCATCTCAGCCCTGCTCCAGCTCCTGCCTCGCTTCCCCACAGCAGCCTTGTGTCCCCTGTGGGATTGCTGTCCCCATGGGGTGACTGTCACCACCACAGCTGTGCCACTCTGTCCTGGCTGGCTCTGTGTGCCGCAGCGCTGCCGCTCCGCATCCCACATCCCACATCCCGCATCCTGCATCCCTCCCGCCCCGCTCCTGCTCTGGCTTGGCCACGTCCTCGCAGCCGTTTGCAAATTGCATTAGGAAACTTGGCAGGGCCGGCTGCTGATTCCTGCCCGTTCCTGCCGGTTCCTGCTGCTCTCCCGAGCACGTGCGGGGACGGAGCCAGCTGCCGGCTGAGGGGACGTCACCGAGCAAGAGGTGGCTCGGCCACTCTGTCCCCATCTGTGGCCAGGATGAGGGACAGCACCCACCTGCTCATTCTCTGTGTGGGTCCCTCATCCGTGCCTGGCTCTCCAGCAGAAATTCCTTCTTTGTGTGATGTTTGTGACTCTGTGACCTTTTGTGTCTTGTTTCAGCCACCAATCCCCTCATCTTATAGATGTCATTGATTACAACTGAAATCTTGGATCTTATACCTCCATCCCAAGGTTTTGGTGTTATTTGGATTCCAATCCTGTGGGATGCACATTCCTAACAGTGTTGTAGGAAGCAGAGAGCTCTTGTGTGTCCTTCCTGGGGCTGAGACCCACAGGGACAGCGTCCACCTGAGCTTCCCTGGCAGGACCAGTGCCACCTCTGCTGTCTCCCGGGTGCTGCTCCCTCCTCAGGGGCCATTCTCCCTTCCCAGGAGCCACTCTGCTCTTCCTGGGTACAGCTCTGCCCTTCTCAGGAGCTCACAGTGGGACTGAAATTGCAGCTCTGCTGTGCCTGGCACCAGCCACCCTCACTCCCACATCCCTGAAAGCAGCTGCCACCCGTCCCCAGCCCAGCTCTGCCCTGGTAGCAGGGCTGGAGGGAGCCCCTTGTCTGTCTGGGGGCTGGAGGGAGCTCCCTGTCTGTCTGGGGGCTGATGTGAGCCCCCTCCTCTCCCCCAGCCCCCCTGGCTCACGGGGAAGGACCAACTGTTGTGTTGGTGGTGCGGGAGCTGCCGCCCGCGCGTTGGTGCCGCGCTGCCTCCGCAGCCTCCTGCCAGCCCCTGCCCACGCCAGGCAGAGTTGGGGGGCTCACACCCCACTCCTGCTACACCCTGATCCTGTGGATGGAGCATCACTGTGAGCTCTGCCCTCCTGCAGCCAGGGATGCTGGTGGGCCCTGCCTGTGCCATGGTGGAAGAGCAGGAGGGACCCCCAGCTCCCCCCTTTGCATCCCACTCCCTTTTCCCACCTTCCCTTCAGGTCTCCCCAATTTCTGCCCACATTGCTTTACTACCCCATCCCTCCCCAGTGCCACTGCCTCAGTTTCCCTCCCTGGCAGCAGGATCAGCTCTGAGCACAGTCCAGCATTTGGCTCAGCCCTCCGCAGGGACCTCATGGAGGAGCTGCCCCAATCTCGTGGTGCTTCTCCCCTTCCCCAAATGCCTGAGTCCCTTCTCGCAGCGCTGCAGCTGGGAAGTGGGTTAAAGCGCTGGCTTGGGGAGGGATTTTTCCCGGGGTGTAATTTTTCCCTCCTACACACGGTCTGTTTTGAGCAGTGCCTGGAGGCTTCGCACCCCCGGCTCGCTGCCGGGGCGGGGGAATGCGCTGGCTGCCAAGCCAGGGAAGCGCCCGCTCCAGATCCCAGCTCGTTAGGAGAAATAACAGCAAATTAATTAAGCCAATAGTTCGCTCTGCGCCAGCAGTGCCCCCATCCCTGCCGATACGGGGAGAGGGGATGGGACAGGCTGGATCTGGAGCACCTTTCCCAGGGGGAGCATTGCCCTCAGCATGGTACAGTGCTCCAGGTCCCTCCTGCTCGTGTGGCCCAGTGCATCCCCATTGCCACCAGTGAGTGGGGTCTCTCTGTGCCTCATTTTCCCCTTCTTCTGTGAGGAGAAGCCTCTCTGCATGGCTGACCCTGGCCAGCAGCACCATTTATACCCACATTGAGAACACTTGTCTGGATGCTGTGGGGAAAGGGGATGGAGGAGCTCAGCAGAGTGGGATTTTTTGGGGGTGCTGGGTGGGCTGTGGGGGATCTGACCACTGGAGAAGGGACGTGCCGGGCCGTGCCGTGCTGTGCCATCCCGACGGCCCCTCATCCAGCCGGGGATGGGGATGGGGATGTGGGGCCGTGTTTTGCTGCTCTCCAGCAGCCGCATGGATGGAGTTGCCAGGCAACTGCCGGGCGGAGGCGAGGCCGGAACAAAGCGGGAACTGCCGGGACCCTCCTTCCTCCATCTCCCCCCGAGCCCCCTGGGCAGTGGGGCCCAGCAAAGGCCGTGGGGTCACTCGCTGTGTCCCCCCAAGTCGTTGCCACCATCCCAGCCCGGAGCTGCCGCAGGGCCGGGGTTCTGCAGGGGGATGGACCCGGGAGAAGGGGACTGGCACCTGCTGGCCTGCCCAGAGGGTGCACGGTGGGGCTGGGGGCAGTGGGCACGGGCAGGATGGGTGCTCAGCACCCCGCAGGAGCGGGGCAGGAGGATCAGCCCCAGGCAAGCGCCACATCTGGCCCTGCCCTGCCCCAGAACCTGCCCCGGCACCTGCCCCGGCACGCCGGGGCCCGTTCCAGCCTGGCAGGCGGCGGAAATGGGGGGGTCTGGCAGCCACCCCGACCTGCCCACCCTGCCCGCGGGGCAGCCCAGCCCCGGGGGGGTGCCAGGCTGGGGGATCTCGCACCCACCCCCGGCCTTTTCCCACGCTGCGGCAGGTGCAGAGAGCCGGGCTGGGGTCCGGGGGTGGTCACCCCACAGCTGGGGATGTGCCACCGTGCAGGGGACACCGGGGAGGGGCGGTGCCGTGTGCCCCTGGGCTGGCATGGAGGAACCGGACACGGGGGTGTGAGGCAGCGGGGGGCTGTGGGGCTGTGCCCCCCGGTCGCGGTGTGTGACAGTGAGGGGTGACAGGCTCAGGGCTGTGTCCCGCAGGCTGTACGGGGGGAGCGTGGTGGTAGCCGGGGATGCGGCAGGGGAATGCGGGGAGATGGGTGCGGGGGTGCGGAATGCATCACCTGTGCGGGGAAGCGGGGGGGGCACCGCGTCCTGCTGCGAGCCGGTGCCACCGCAGCCCCGGGGCGGGTTCGGTACCGAGCGCGGTGCTGCGGGGAGGGGAGGGGGCGGGCAGGTGCCGTTGGCGGGCTCGGGGGCGGTGGCGGTGCGGGGAAAGGGGCGGGCAGGTGCCGGGGTCGGTGGTGGCGGGGCCGTAACGGGGCGGGGCGGTGCTGGCGGCGGGGCCGGTGTGGGGCGGGCGCAGCGCGCAGCCGGTGCGGGGCAGGCGGGGAGCGGTGCCGCGGCCCGAGCCCGAGCGGAGCCGAACGGAGCCGCCGCCGCCGCCGCCGCCGCCGCCGCCGCCGCCGATGGGCCCCTGAGCCGCCGCCGCCGCCGCGCCCGGGCGGCCATGAAGCCGCTGGAGAAGTTGCTGAAGAAGCCGGGCTCGCACCTGCCCGTCCGCCCCGCCGCCCCGCCGGGGCAGGTACCGGGGCCGGGCTCGGTGCCGGCGCCACGGCGGCAGAGCCTGTCGCGCCCGCCCGCCTCCCCTGAGGAGCCGGCGGGGCCCGCGGGGCCGGTACCGGGGGGCGAGGGCCGCTGGCTGGAGCTACGGCCGCCCGAGGCTCCGCTCCGCTCCCCTGAGGACCCGTCACCGGGCTGCGACGGCGAGCGGGACCGGGACCGGGAGCGGGAGCCGCCGAGCCCGGAGCCGCCGCCCGCCGCCCGGTGCTGCTGCGGCTGCGGCTGCGCCCCCGCCGCGCCCGCGCCCCCCGAGCGGCTCCTGGCCGCGCTCCTGGACCGACTGCCGGCGGCTGAGCACGGGAGGGGCTGCGGGGCAGGTACGGGTCTGCGGGAGCGCCGGCACCGGCGGCGGGGAGCGCGGGGAGCGCGGGCGATGCGGCGGAGCGGGGAGAGCCCGGGAGCGGCCGCTGCCGGCGGGGGGGATGCGCCGGTGGATGCCGGGCTGGGGACAGCGCGGGGGGTGCGGGGACACGCGTGCCCGGTGAGGCGGGCGGCCCCCGCAGGGCACAGCGGTGCCCGGTGGGGGTGACAAGGTCAAAGCTGGGTCCCCGCCGGGGCAGAAGGGTGGGCAGGAATCGGTGGGGTTGGCGAGACAGCACGGCAGAGGGGCTGGCAAGGGGATGTGACAGTGCCGGGGGTGGCCGGGCACCAGCAGTCACTGCAGCATCCACCTCCCGCTTGTATGCTCCTTAACATCCTCCTGGTGCTAAAATTAGCCCCGACGGGAGCTGCAGTGGAGGGGGGGCCGGTGGGATGCCCCTTTGCTCTGGCACAGGCCTGCCCGTGCTGTCCCACCTCGGCTGCCCGTGCCCAGGTGTCGCGGTGGTTTCGGTGTCAGGGCTGGGCGGGTGCCAGGCTGGCTGCAGGTGGGTGTGGGAGCCTTCCCGCGCCGCGGGGATCCCTGTCCCGGCCAATCCCGCTCG